TTTAAGACGGTTACACTAAATAGACAAGCTTGGGGAAGCCAGATTTAATTAGAGAATTCTATGGCGCACATTAGGGCAACATCCTAACTTCTTTCACATGTGGGTTGAGAAGGAATTTCAGGCTGAAGGCACAACAAATGTTGCCATTCTGCTCCAAATTCTTACTCCTGTTCCCCTTGTAGGTTTGCTCAGAAGGTTAGAACATCAATGCAATCACGGTACAATTGAAATTGCCCCGACTGCTAGGGAAGATACACCTGGTATTTCATAGTAACCTCTTAAAATCTGTGGTCGGATTGACCCTGAGGCCACTACCCCATGAGCCCCTGGACCCCGTGGTTATAGGGGGCCAAACCCATTATGAGGTGCAGCAAATCCTCAATTCAAGGTGGCACAGGAGACAACTCCAGTACTTAATCAAGTGGAAGGGCTACCCCTTATCAGAGGCATCTTGGGTAAAGAGTAGGAACATCCAGGCTGATTGCCTTATAGCAAAATTTCATGCAGAAAATCCAAACAAACCTGGGGTGTCCCTAAATTCTATACCTGTACTCAAATTGCTTTGCACAGGTCACCTTCATGTAATGTTATTTTAGATGCATTCTGGAGAACTGCAGATAGTGTTATTGTGGGTCCTGGTGCAATTTTGATGATCCAAACTGATGCCAATTCTGCCTCTATCCTGCCACAGTTGATGATAATGGAATGAATACAATCTGGAGAATTAGACCTAGTTTTGCCCTTTTGTCAGAGAAGATATAAAAGATACATTTTCTCTATCATCCATCATGGGCTGAAGAATTAATCTTATGTTGTATAGGTGGGCAACTATTTTATTATTGGAACTAGCAATCAGATGACCATTTGGAAAACTGAATTTTAAAAAGATATGTAGGTTCTTTAGTTCTCAATTATTTTCCTATCCAGAATCCGGTGTTCATGCTAATGATACATATAATTAGGGGGCATTAATGATACATTAGTAGGGGAAAAACAATGAAAGCAACATTGGTTCGTCCTGATGGGAGCTCCACTCTTTTGTGTTCCCTCTCTTTCTGTTTCTCCTCTTCATATAAAATAAGTAATTATCAATCACATTGGAAATCCAGATTTGAATTTATTTATTGTAAGCCACTTGTACTTCTAAATAAAGATGAAGTTCAAGGAAGCACTACAAAATATTCAGATGTTAGATAGACAGACAGATAGATGGATGATAGATAGATAGATGATAAATAGAAGATAGATAGATAGATGATAGATAGAAAGATAGAAAGAAAGAAAGATAGATAGAAAGAAAGATAGATAGAAAGATGATAGATAGATAGATTAGATAGGTGATGATAGATAGATAGATAGATGATAGATAGATAGAAAGATAGATAGATAGAAAGAAAGATAGATAGATTAGGTGATGATAGATAGATAGATGATAGATAGATAGATAGATAGATAGATAGATAGATAGATAGATGATAGATAGATAGAAAGAAAGATAGATAGAAAGATGATAGATAGATAGATTAGATAGGTGATGATAGATAGATAGATAGATAGATAGATGAATGATAGATAGAAAGAAAGATAGAAAGATGATAGATAGATAGATAGATAGATAGATAGATAGATAGATTAGATAGGTGGTTATAGATAGATAGATAGATAGATAGATAGATAGATAGATAGATGATAGATAGATAGATAGATAGAAAGCTAGATAGACAGACAGACAGATAGATAGATAGAAAGATAGATAGATAGATAGATAGAAAGAAAGAAAGCTAGATAGATAGAAAGAAAGATAGAAAGATGATAGATAGATTAGATAGGTGATGATAGATAGATAGATAGAAAGAAAGAAAAAAGATAGATAGATAGATAGATAGATAAATAGATAGATAGATGGAAAGAAAGATAGATAGATAGAAAGAAAGATAGAAAGATGATAGATAGATTAGATAGGTGATGATAGATAGATAGATAGATAGATAAATGATAGATAGATAGAAAGATAGATAGATAGAAAGATAGATAGATAGATAGATAGATAGATAGAAAGAAAGATAGATAGATAGAAAGATGATAGATAGATTAGATAGGTGATGATAGATAGATAGATAGATAGATAGATAGATAGATAGATAGAAAGATAGATAGATAGATAGATAGATAGATAGAAAGAAAGATAGAAAGATGATAGATAGATTAGATAGGTGATGATAGAGATAGATAGATAGATGATAGAAAGAAAGAAAGAAAGATAGATAGATAGAAAGAAAGAAAGAAAGATAGAAAGATGATAGATAGATAGATTAGATAGGTGATGATAAATAGATACATAGATAGATGATAGATAGAAATAGATAGATAGATAGATAGATAGATAGATAGATAGAAAGATAGATAGATAGATAGATGATAGATAGAAAGATAGAAAGATAGAAAGAAAGAAAGATAGATAGATAGATAGATAGATAGATAGATAGATAGGAAAGATAGATAGGAAAAATTGATGGATAGACAGAGGTAGATGTAGAGGTAGAGGTAGAGAAATATAGTAGTTAAATTTATGTCAGCATATTGACCCCAACAATCTGGATCCTCTTTTTACTGTCCTTGAAAGGATGGAAAGTTGAATCAACCTGGGACAGAAAAGGATCAAACTCCTGGCAGTGGGCAGAGTCAGCCTGCAATCCTACATTCTAACCACTGTGCCACCATGGAGGGGGGGGGACGGAGGGACAGAGGGTGGGAGGAAGGGAGAGAGAGAGAGAGAGCAATGGAGGGAGAGAGGGAGGGAGGGAGGGAGAGAGAAAGAGAGGGAAGGAGGGAGGGAGGGAGAGAGGGAGGGAGAGAGAGAGAGAGGGAGGGAGGGAGGGAGGGAGGGAGGGAGAGAGAGGGAGGGAGGAAGGGAGGGAGAGAGGGAGGGAGAAAGGGAGAGAGAGAGAGGGAGGGAGAGAGCGGGGAGGGAGGGAGAGAGAGGGAGGGAGAGAGGGAGGGAAAGAGGGAGGGAGGGAGGGAGAGAGAGAGAGATTGAGAGAGAGAGAGAGAGAGAGAGAGATGGTATAGGTATAGATGATGTAGATATAAATGATATAGATATAGATTGTTTTTCTCTAGCTGTGTCCTAATTCTTTTTATTCATTTATTAGACTTAGTTATTTGGAACAAGAGAGAATGAGTGGCCCAAATTAGCTGAATGAACTTCAGTGGCTAGTTGATGTTTCAGTATTGATGATAAGGCAGAAGCATTGCTCCGATGCAGCTGTGAAATATGTTCATGCAGAAACACGCTCTCTTCCAGAATGTCCTTGCACACGTGAACTTTTTTTTGCTCCTTTTTTCAAATTACCATCTGTCCATGCTCACTTCCTCTTTTTGGGAAGTGGGGGAGTCAGTTGCCCTTCTTTCCTGCTCCCCTCTCCCTAGCTGGGGAATCATTTATATAATGGGCTCCTTGAGGCAGAAGGACAGAGGAAGACGGAAGGTTGAGGACCTATCTCTTCTTTAAGATTTCATTCAGATGAGTCTAAGAGCAGGGAAGGCTAAAATGAAGAGATTATTTTCCTGTGAGACGTTACGTTCATCACTGAACTGGATTAGGTTTATCAAAGCTTAGTTGGTTTTCATTCTAAGCTACTCTCTTCATAAGGCTTCTACTACATTGAAGGGCTCACACCAACTTCCTTATGGCCTTGACTCAGGGGTGAAATCCAGCAGGTTTCTGACAGATTCTGGAGAACCGGTAGTGGAAATTTTGAGCAGTTCAGAGAACCAGCAAATACCACCTCTGGCTGCCCCAGCGTGGGGAGGGAATGGAGATTTTGCAGTATTCTTCCCCTGGAGTGGGGTGGGAATGGAGATTTTGCAATATCCTTCCCCTGGAGTGGGGTGGGAATGGAGATTTTGCAGTATCCTTCCCCTGGAGTGGGGAGGGAATGGGGATTTTGCAGTATCCTTCCCCTGCCATGCCCACCAAGCCATGCCCACCAATCCACACCACACCATGCCCACCAAGCCACGCCCACAGAACTGGTAGTGAAAAAAAATGGATTTCACCACTGCCTTGAATTCAGCTCCTTCCAGACTCTTGAGTGAGATAGATTTTAATTGTAATATTAAGGAAGTATTTTCCACTTAATTCTTACTCTATCCAAGGATAGCATTGGGGGATATAAAGATATTTTTGTGAGAGAACTCAGAGGAATGAAGTAAGAGGCAATTTAGAGGCAGTAAAAATGCAGCAAAGATTGGGTAAGGATTCCCAAGGAATAAAGACAATTCTTGTCAGCCTTCCCTGGTAGTTAAGACAAGAAGGACAACCCCATCCCCAGGCACTATCCATATTTTAAGTTTATCTTAATGATACCTTGCAAGTCTGAAAGTATATCTCCCATCTGTCACCCTTACAAACCAAGAAACTTTCTAAGAAGTTTGTCTTGCCCCCATTCCTTCTGTTGACTCAGCTGCCTCTTATCTGACTGTTGCCCTGTCTGTGGCTGTTCCTTCTGTCTCCCAAGGTCACACACACATCATTACAATATTGCATTGTAGAGGCTTCTGCCAATTCAAGGATGTTTGAAGAGCCCTTCCATTCAGCACCAAGGGAAGTCAGCTCTAAAACTGATGTAGTTCCTGCCTCAACATGAGATTCTGGAAAACAGTTGCATTTTCTAGTGGAAGGAGTGTAGCCTCCTTAGAAATTCTCTCCAGCAGATTCTAAAGCAAATTACCTCCCTGACTAAGATTCCCCCCAGACTTCTTGCAAGGATTTAAATTCCTATTTCCCTAAGCATTATCTTTGAACTCTATCCCAACATGTTTGCAATTTATTTCAGACTCCAACAGATACTTGTCAGTTTCCTATGCCTTCTAGATGTCATGTTTTCCATATACTGTAGGTAAAAATAGCAATGTTCACTTCAGGGCTAGCTGTTTGCAGGAGACTAGTGACTAATGTAGTTAATCCATTTTCTCCCTTTCTTGTGGCAGAACTGACCATGATTTTCAAGAGAGTTGGACTTGGGCTCTTCATACTCGTGGCTGCTGTCGTGATCCTAGGCACTTTTGCTCAGACTTATAAGGACTTCTTGAAGCAGCACTATGACCATCCCAAAAGCAGTGTTGGAAACCCTTACTGTAATACAATGATGAAGAAGCGTGGAATGACCAAGCCCAAATGTAAGGAGGTGAACACATTCATCCATACCAAGAAGAACAATATCATTGCCGTTTGCACAGATGAAGGTGGAATAGCTATTGATGACAGATTGCAACGCAGCAAGCAAAAGTACTTGGTCACCAACTGCAGAATAAAAGGATCCCTCACCAAACCTTGTGAATACAGCGAAGATACTTCGCCCAGACACCTTGTCACTGCTTGTGAGGATAAGTTGCCTGTGCACCAGTGGTGGGTTGCCCCCAGTTCGCACCAGTTCTATAGAACTGGTAGTAAAACCATCGGGAGGCCCCTCCCACCAACCCCGACGTCACCAAAACGCTTCTGCGCATGCAAACCGGTAGTAAACGTAAGTAGAACCCACCCCTGCTGTGCACTATGAGGAAGATGACATCCAGAAGCATTTGAAGATGATATGACTTCACCAGATTGTATCTCCCTAAAGATGGCTGCTCTTCCATGGGAAAGATCTCATTTTTGGCTGATCCTGTGGCTCATTTCCTGTAGTCTTTTTCATGATCTGTGCTCAGCTGCTACCATTGTAACCTACCAAGATATTTGCTCTGCTTTCATTTTGTTTCTTTTCCTTTCAGACAAAACCAAAATCCTGAATATACTAAATGTTATGCCAGCCAGAAATAATCCCTCTACTTTTAAATGAATGGTTAAAAATAAACAACAACAAAAAACACATTGTATCTCTGTTGTTTGTGGGTGGCTTCATTTCATTTTAAATACTTTTGCATTTTTTTCAAAGAAGTGATGATCGGATTCATCCTGCATTAACCTGACCAAAATTTCTGCTCTTGTTAAATACTTCTTAATTCATTCTCTCTGAACACATCAGTCTTGTTTGTGATGGCCACCAAATTTTATTCTTTTTCTTTTAAACATGAATAGCTCTTCTGAAACAACACAGCAGCCTGATGTAGCTCTAGATTCTTTACTTGGAAGGGATGCAAAACCAACCATCAGAAGGAGAAAGTAATACAAGTAACATGCTTTAGCTGTATTCACACAAGCCCTAGTGAATCAGTGTCAGGCAATTCTAGATCTAGTTTAGTGGCTATCTTAGAAGGAGACTCAGCTCTCACAGTGGCTGGATTTATTGCAAACTGAACAGAAAGAGATCTACACATCTCCACCCCTTTCTTTCCCTGTATCATCTCTGTAGTATAATTGCAGGTGAAGGAGGTGAAATTCTGGGAGTTGTAGCCTATACATCTTAAAGTTGTCCAGGTTACCTTACACATGCTTGACAAAATAAAATAAAATAAAATAAAATAAAATAAAATAAAATAAAATAAAATAAAATAAAATAAAATAAAATAAAATAAAAAAATAAAATAAAATAAAATAAAATAAAAAATAAAACAAAACAAAACAAAACAAAAAAACAAAACAAAATAAAAAAATAAAATAAAACTAAAAATCTGCTAATCATGAGGAAATGGAGGCAGTGAAAATAGAACAGGGTCTCCACTTCCAGCACATTTAATTAAATGGAGAAAAGCAGGAAGAATTTTGGTGCACTACCTGAAGATTTCTCCAAGGGCAAGTTCTTCATGACTAATTCAACACTAACCAAGAATGCCTCTCAGGGGCATTATATCATTGATATTATATGCCCGTGATGGCGAACCTATGGCACAGGTGCCACAGGTGGCACACGGAGCCATATTGGTGGGCACACGAGTGTTGCCTTAGCTCAGCTCCAGGGCGCATGCGCGCACCGGCCAACTGATTTTCAGGTCTTCCGGTCCCACCGGAAGTCGGGAAACTGGCTGTTTCCGGCCTCCGGAAGGCCTCCGGGGGGATGGGGAAGGCTGTTTTTGCCCTCCCCAGGCTCCTAGAAAGCCTCTGGAGCCTGGGGAGGTGGAAAAACGGGCCTACCGGGCGCACCGTGCCATCGTGTGCCAAAAGCAGGGGGAAGTAGGGGGGGTCACGTGCGCATGCGCGGGAGGGTGGGGCACATTGAATTATGGATGTGGGCACACACACCCACAACTCCCCACACTCCCCCCGCTTTTGGCACGTGATGGCAAAAAGGTTAGCCATCACTGTTATATGCTGCCCAGGGAATTCTGGATATTGAAGTCCACATATTTTAATATCGTCAGCTTCAAAAAAAAAACAAAAAAAAAAAACACTGCTCTAGTCTGTGATAGACTGAAGAAAGGTCATTTCAAGTTAAACATGATCCATATATTCTGTACTCTGCCCTCTCAAATTCTACTTATGTTTTTTCTCCTTTAAAAAATTGCCCATAACCATTGGCATATTTAACAGTCTAGTGAAGAGAAGGACCAGGGGAGACATGATAGCAGTGTTCCAATATTTGAGGGGTTGCCACAGAGAGGGGGAGGTCAAGCTATTCTCCAAAGTGCCTGAAGACCAGACAAGGAATAATGGATGGAAACTTAACAAGGAGAGATTCAACCTAGAAATGAGGAGGAACTTTCTGACAGTGAGAACAATCAACCGATGGAACAGAAATTGCCTTTGGAAGTTGTGGGAGCTTCATCATTGGAAGCTTTCAAGAAGAGACTGGACTGCCATCTGTCAGAAATAGTGTAGGGCCATGATGATGAACCTATGGCAAGCATGCCACAGGTGGCACCTAGAGCCATATCTGTGGGCACGCATGCGCGCACCAGCCAACTGATTTTCGGGCCTTCCGGGCCCACTGGAAGTCAGGAAACGGGCGGTTTCCAGCCTCCGGAGGGCCTCCAGGGGGGTGGGGAAGGCCGTTTTCGCCCTCCCCAGGCTCCTAGAAAGACTCTGGAGCCTGGGGAGGGCAAAAAATGGGCCTACTGAGCCCACCGTGCCATCATGTGCCAAAAGTGGGAAGAGCGCGAGGGGTTGCATGCACATGCGTAGGGCGCATTGAATTATGGACATGGGCACGCACACGCACGACCCCCCCTGCCCTCCCCCTGCTTTTGGCACACAACAGAAAAAAGGTTAGCTGGTGTAGGGTCTCCAGTACGATGATCTACAAGCAGTGATGGGATTCAAATAATTTAACAACTGGTTCTCTGCCCTAATGATTTCTTCCAACAACCAGTTCACCAAACTGCTCAGAAAGTTAACAACCAGTTCAACCGAAGTGGTGCGAACTGGCTGAATCTCACCATTGCCTACAAGGTCCTTCCAACTCTGTTAATCTGTTAAAAACATATAGGAATATAGAAGTGTGGTCCATTACAGATAAACATGCATGCACAGATTAGCTATATTTGTTCACAATACAAGAACCATGCTGGAAATGTCATCTTCCTTCTGGCCAACTCTTTACATGTGTACAAGTGAGCAGTAGGTTCTGTTTCTTGAAGGACATCCACGTTGCACTTAGTCAGAGGCACACTGCTGCTTGAGAAGCTTCAGGTGTTCATGTCTCTTTCACTAACTGTTTCACCATTGGTGATAAGGCAATAGCATTGCTCGGATCCAGCTGTGAAACATGTCCATGCATAATCACACTCTCTTCAAGAATGTCCTTGCACACGTGAACTTTTTTTTTTCTGTTTTGAAATTAACGTCTGTCCATGCTCACTTCTCCTTTTTTGGATGGGGGGGGGTCAATTGCAGCCCTTTCCTGTTCCACCTCTCCCTTGCAGGTGGACCATTTATATAATGGGCTCCTTGAGTCAGAAGGACAGAAGAAGGCAGAAGGTTGAGAACCCATCTCTTCTTCGAGATCCCATTCAGGTGATTCTAAGACCAGAGAAGGCTAAGATGAAGCAATGATGTTCTTATGGGAGATTTTGATTCTCACTGAACTGGATTAGACTTTTCAATACTTACTGTAGTTGACCTGCATTTTAGCAGGTCAAAGAAGCTACCTTCTTTGTAGGGCTTGTACTACAGTGAAGTGCGGATTCCACCTTCCTTATTATTTTGATCCCATGGCATCAAGGGATATAAAGATATTTGGGGGGGAGGGAAAAGTGACAGGAATGCAGAGACTAGAGACAACAAAGAGCAGTAAAGGTTGAGTAAAGGTTTCCAAGAAATAGAGCTGATATTTGTCTGCTTTGTGTAGTAATCCAGACAAGAGACACACCCAGGAGTACTAGCTCTATCCACATTGTAAGTTTAGTTTAACAGTACCTTGAAACTCTGAAAGCATTGCACTACTAATCTTCTCATCTTCTCATCGTCCCATCACCCAGCCCCTCCCACTTATGACTGTATGACTGTAACCTTGTTGCTGGTATCCTTACAATTTATATTGATATTTTTTCCTGATTGCTTATTTGTAACCTATGACTATCACTGAGTGTTGTACCTTATAATTCTTGATGAACATATCTTTTATTTTATGTACACTTGAGAGCGTATGCACCAAGACAAATTCCTTGTGTGTCCAATCACACTTGGCCAATAAAAATTCTATTCTATTCTGTTCTACATCTCCCACCCCTATCACTTTTACAATCCAAGGAAATTTTAAGATGTTTGCCTTGACCCTATTCCTTTTGCTGGCTCAGATGCCTCCTCTCTGACCATTGCCTAGCCTCTGGCTGTTCCTTCTATCTCCCAAGGGAATTGCTATACACCTTTAGAATATTACATTGGTAGAACTTCCAATTCAAGGATGCTTGAAGAGCCTTTCTATTGAGCATGGAAACTATTGTAGTTCCTGTCTGAATATGAGACTCTGGAAAACCTTCAATGGTTTTCTTCCACTGGTAGCCTCTTTAGACATTCCCTGGATAAGCTTCTGAGGAAAATTCCCTAATTTTGAAAACATGGAAAGTAAAATATTTTCCATAGTAGCCAAAATAGAAAGGTCCATTTCAGTGTTAGATATTTCAACCACTGGTCTCAGATGGGGATATTCATGTATCTTCTCCCTTTCTTCTGTGGCAGAGCTGATCATGCTGTTCAAGGGTTTTGGCCTTGGGCTCTTCATAATCCTGGCTGCTGTCCTGATGCTGAGCAGTGTTGCTGCTGACTATGAAATCTTCCTGAGGCAGCACTACGATAATCCCAAGAGCAATGTTGGAGATCATTACTGTAATAAAATGATGCAAAGGCGTGGAATGACCAAACCCATATGTAAGGACGTCAACAGCTTCATCCATGGCACAAAGAAAAAAATCATTGCTGTGTGCGGGGATGGTGGGGAAGCTATTGATGACAGATTGTGGCGTAGCAAGAACCAGTTCCAGGTCACCACCTGCAAGAAGAAAGGATCATCCACCAAACCTCCTTGTGAGTACACGGAACACAAGTCGGGCAGATATATTGTCATTGCTTGTGAGAACGGATTTCCTGTGCACTACGTGGAAGGTCAGACTTAACAGTATTTGAAGATGATACGAATTGATTGGATGGAGACTCCCTCAAGATGGCTTCTCTTCTATAGGAAAAAAATATCATTTTCTGCTGATCCTGTGGCTCATTTCCTGGACTCTTTTTCATGATCTGTGCTCAGTTGTGACCATTGTAATCTATCAAATATATTCACCCTGCTTTTCTTTTTTCTCTTTATTCTATAGCCAGCATAAAACCAAAACTCTGAATATCCTAAATTTTACATAAACCAGCAATAATATATGTGCCAAATGCTTTGAAATGAATGATTAAAAATAAACAAAAAAATGCATTACATCTCTGTTCTTTGTGTAGCTTCATTTCATTTTAAATAATTTTGCTTTTTTCAAGGAAGGAATGACCAGATTCATCCTGCATTAACCTGACTAAAATTCTGCTCTTTTAAAATTGCTCTTGCTTGATTCTCTCTGAACACATCAGGGCCCTGTTTGTGGTGGCCACCAAGTATTGTGTCTATGGAGATTCTCAGGCATCCAGAGCTGAAGAAGTTTCTTGGATGAGAAGCCAAATGTCTTCAAAGAAAAACCACAAAGTCCTTTTGTCCCTTCAAAAAGCAGCTTTGGGACCCCAAAGTATTACTATTTTTCCTTTAAATGCAAATAGCTCTTCTGAAATAACAGCAACCTGATGTAGCCCTAGAGTAGATGCGCCGGATCCAGCCCACACGATGCTTAGATCTGGCCCACAAGGCCACCCTGGAAACAATGAAGGACCAACCCTCAGTGCCTCTGCCAGTGAAAACGGTGCTTGGGAGGGCCGTATGCAGCTGGCAGAGGGTTGCAGGAGGCTCTCGCAGCTGAAAACTGAGCTCGGGAGCCCGTTTTCTCTTATAAAGTGCTTGAGCCACCATAGGCACCCCCATCACAAGTGACGTTGAGATGGCCACGCCTCCCCCCCCCCAGCCATGCTCCCTCGGCCCACAAGGTCAAAAACAATCCTGATGTGGCCCTCAATGTAATCGAGTTTGACACCCCTGCTGTGGAAGGGATGGGAAGCCAAACATCAGAAGGAGAAAGTGTACTACAATTAACAAGCTTTAGCTGTATTCACACAACCTCTGGTGAACCAGTGTCAGGTAATCCTAGATATAGTGGTATCTTAGAAGCTCATTCAGCTTTCACAAGGACTGACAATCATTGCAAACAAAACTGTCTCTATTCCAAACTTGCAGTTAAAAATTGGACTGAGTAAATTTACTTCAGAACCCAACTATTTTTTTTAATATAAAGTTTTATTAATTTTCTTCTATTACATTTAGTTAGTGCTTAATAAACATTGTGTTGTCTGGATTATTTTGTTTGCTTAATAATACAAATTATATTCCTAATCTTTATTCCTTTTTTCCAGCCATTGATAAAATAAATTCCATGTTTGGTAGTATTCTGTATTTTCTTTCGGTTTAAAATTCAATGTAAGTCTGCCCATTTCTGCACAGTCCAATATCTTCTTAATTATCTCTTCATACAGTGGTATTTCTTCATTTTTCCAAAGCTGCGCAAATATAATCCTCGCTGCTGTTAGTACATGCCATATTAAATATACATGTCAGAGTTCCAAGTAACACCCCCAACAGAAGTAAGACTCCGAGACAGGCATTTTCCTTAAAGTTCCATTTTATTATTTATTTATTTATTTATTATTCGAATTTCTATACCGCCCTTCTCCTTTCGGACTCAGGGTGGTGAACAGCCAAAATAAAAACATTTATACATAAGTACGATTAAAAATAGATTTAAAATAATTAAATTTGGCCCATAGTTTAAAATTTATCAATTTAAAATCCATATCAAAATTTAAAACCAACCATAAAATCAAGAGAGACCGGCTAACTGAAAGAGATGAGTTTTTAGGGCCCGACGAAAGATCCGGGGGTCGGAGATCACTCGTATCTCTAGGGGTAGATTGTTCCAAAGGGTAGGTGCCACCACAGAGAAGGCTCTCTTCCTGGGGGTCGCCAGCCGGCATTGTCTAGCCGACGGCACCCTGAGGAGGCCCTCTCTGTGGGAGCGAACTGGCCGGTGGGAGGCTATTGGTGGCAGAAGGCGGTCCCTTAAGTACCCTGGCCCTAAGCCATGGAGCGCTTTAAAGGTGATCACCAACACCTTGAAGCGCACCCGGAAGTCCACCGGAAGCCAATGCAGCTCGTGCAGGAGAGGAGTCACATGGGAGCGCCCAGTTGCTCCCATAATCCCCCGCGCGACCGCATTCTGCACCAGTTGGAGCCTCCGGGTGTACCCCATGTAGAGAGCGTTACAGTAGTCCAGTCGAGAGGCGACGAGTGCTTGAGTGACTGTGCGTAGGGAGTCCCAATCCAGAAAGGGGCGCAACTGGCGTATCAGGCGAACCTGATAAAAAGCCCCCCTGGCCACGGCCGTCATATGCCCTTCTAAAGACAGCCGTGCGTCCAGGAGGACGCCCAAGTTGCGGGCCCCTTCCATGGGGGCCAATGATTCGCCCCCAATAACCAGCGATGGCATCAGCTGGCTATACTGGGACGCCGGCAGCCACAGCCACTCAGTCTTGGAAGGGTTGAGTCGAAGCCTGTTTCTCCCCATCCAGACCCGCACGGCCTCCAGGCCACTCAACCACTGACCAGAGACAAAAACTAAATCCAGAGTGTGTCCCCCCATGTGAGTAGGGCCGTGAATTACTTGGGTCAGGTCCATGGCCGTCATGGAAGCCATGAACTCCCGAGCTACCTCAGAAGTTTCACCAATGGATGGCAAGTTGAAATCCCCCATGACCACAAGTCTGGGGGTATCAGCCGCCACCTCGGCTATAACAGTGAGGAGTTCGGGCAGGGTCGTTGCCACGTGGCAGGGAGCCAGGTACGTAATCAACAGACCCATCCGCATCCCACGACCCCACTTCACGAAAAGGGACTCACATCCGGCTATCTGAGGCACAGTGGTCTCCCTTGGATCAAGACCCTCTCTTATAATGACTGCCACCACCACCACCCCGCCCCTGCCCTGAGCTCTCGGCTGATGAAATGCACGGAAGCCTGATGGGCACATCTCCACGAGGGGAACCCCCCGCTCATGGCCCAACCAGGTCTCCGTAATACCTACCAGGTCCGCTCCCCCCTCCTGAATAAGATCACAAATGAGGGGGGCTTTATTTACTACAGACCTGGCATTACACAACATCAGCCGGAAGCTCGGGCCCTGAGACTCTAAGCAGCCTGAGGAACAGGAAGAGCTAAGGGAACCGGGGCACGCAATCGCTCGGAGATAGCGAGCGCGTGCCCCCACCACATGATACGGCCCCCTGCTCCCGCCATACCTGCCCCTCCCACTCAGCGTATTGATGGAGAAGCCCTCAATAGAGGGCATTCTAACAGTCCCCTTTCCCCCAGGGTCTGTACCCCCTATGGCACCATTAACAGCCAGGCTGGCCTCCCTCCCCACCCCCCTCCCCAAACCCCTTAAAAATTTACACAAAGACAATTAGAGATGTTATATTGGCACATCTGGGAAAATACGAATCTGAAAGCTTCCGGGTTTTCCCCACCCAAAAGAAAGTCAAAGGCCTTTCCTTGCACCCACATCTCCATCACATGGTCCAATCAAGCCACCGTTCCAAGTGGAGATGTCTCCCAGTCACGCCTCTCCAGGTACAGGCTAAATGTCCTTGACTCCCTGGGAAAAGAATGTTCTTATGGCTATATATCTCACTCCAACTCCATCCAACCCCACTCCTGTTTTCCCACAGCATGCCCATCCACCAAGTGTGACAGCCCTGAAGATCCAAAGTAAAAATGGCCTCTGGGGCTGAAAATACCCTTTGTTTATCACATTTTTCTGGTACTATACCTAATAAAAAAAAGTTCAGATTTCAGATCTACATGTTTTCTTGACATCTTTTCTAGCCACATGTGTATTTTTCCCCATTTTATTTATTTATTACCGATTGCTTTAGTACAGGGGTGAAATGCTCCTGGTTTGGACCGGATCGCTTGATCCGGTAGCGATGGCGGTGGGTGGTTCAGAGAACAGGTAGCAAAAATCCATGCGCCCCCCCTCCCATGCCCAGCTGAGCCAAACGATCATCAGAGGCTTTTTTTTTTTATTTTTAAAAGAATTTTTTTACAACTTCTTCCTCTGAAAAAAATGCTTTTAAAAGTTAAAAAAAAAAGCCTCTGATGATCGCACGGCTCAGCTGGGATCTCAGAGGCTTTTCAAAGCATTTTTTTAACCACTTCTTCCCTGGAAGAGGTTGCAGAAAAAAATGCTTTAAAAGTCTCTCTGACGATCCCAGCTGAATTGCCTGATCTTGAGAGAGACTTTTCAAAGCATTTTTTAAAGCATTTTTTTCTGCAACCTCTTCAGCGGAAGAGATGGTTTAAAAAATGCTTTGAAAAGGCTCTGATGATCCCAGTTGTGTTCCTGATCGGCAGAGGCTTTTCAAAGCATTTTTTTACATTTGCAGAAAAAAATGCTTTGAAAAGTTAAAATAAAAAAAAAAGTTGGCCACGCCTACCCAGTCACATTACCCCATCCCCACCCCCCACCCAACCACCAAGCCAGGCCCACAGAACCGGTAGTAACAAATTTTACATTTCACCCCTGCTTTAGTACAAGTCCACTACAGATAATAATATGTGCCAGGTTTTTGATTACATTTCCAACATTTACTAGACGTATTTTTGAACACTTTGGCTAACCTAGCAGGTGGTAAATGCCATCTAAAAACATTTTATATATCTTTTCTTTATAAGAAGTTGCCATTGTTAATTTATAATTTCTTTCCTATATATTTTCCCATTTCTCTAATTCTATTTATTTATTTATTTATTATTAGTTCAATTTATATGCCGCCCTTCTCTGAAGACTCAGGGTGGCTTACAATGCACTTATAGCAATAGCTTTCATTCTTTTGTATATACCTGCTTATTAGAGCTTTTGGCCCCCCCATAAGTGGTGTTTCTACAAAGTCAGCTTATTGCCCCCACAATCCGGGTCCT